TTGTTACTTTCATTCTTTTGCTTCTGCATAATTGTGCCATGTGAGCTGACAGAATGCAAAATAAATTTTGAGGTAGAATGATATTGAGATCCAGGGCAGATATAAGTCACAACATATCTTCTGACTTTAACAGAAATTAAGAATAATTTGTAAGGAAGAAAGTCTCTCTTCCCACTTCACTCAACGTTGTTTCTCTCAGGGACTTCAAATGTGGGTTGTTTGTGTTTTTTCTCCCATTTCTAGATTCTAATTCCAAACACTGTATCTATTTCAGGGGTCACTTAAACTGATGAAAAAATAATATTACACATCTTTTGGAAAGTTCCATTAATGCTTGACTAATACTCTGGTAGGTGTTTTGTCTAAAATTACCTTTAGGGAGTTATCTAGTAGCTAACAGTAAAGGAATATCGCATCCTCTGAACGTATGAATTTATAACCTTTTCTCAAAGCAAGAATGTTACCTAATAGATAGTAAACTAATGAGTTAATATATATGTATGTTTCACAGCAGCTTTTTTCTTCGAATAATTCACACATACAAGGAACTACATAAAGGGCTACCATTATTAAGAATGCAATCAGCTGTCACATGGATGTTGCTTTGAGAATTCAGGAGCCAAATCTATGTTTTGTTTAATTCTGCCCTTTAGAAGACTGGAAGAACAGGAATAATCTCAACAGTGAAAGTAGAACAAGAACTGAAGCAACTTTCATCTTTTTGACTCATTAACTAAAATGAGGAAAAATCATGACTGGTCATAAAGGTGCCTCAGAATCTAAAACCTGCAAGGCAGCAGCTACAATTAGTTTCCTTTTAGTTTCATTCTTTTATTTTCTCTTTCACTTCCGGGAAACATGCTAGAAATATTATATTCAAAACTGTAAATTTATCTGAATTACAAATACAGATTAAGAATATTTATACATTTTTTTCAATCATCTGAAATATAAACATAATTTTAACTGAGTGCTCTATTATCCTATTGCCTTATTCGATATATATACTACATTTTAAAGCACCTACTACCACATATAGGCAGATAAGATAATAATTATATAAATAATCAGAATTAACTGACAGCATCACTATAGTTACCAGCCAAGACTGACTAAACAAAGAATTAATCAAAATAGGCAACAATCCCATCTTCATACCACAGACATAAGAAATGGCCTTAAAATTGTCAAAAGATTTGGAGGCTCAGGGAAGAGCTAATTTCATGATCAAGGCTGCTCTGGAAAATGTTTCATCTGTTAAAATTGAGGACTCCAGACTGAGTATCTCCACTGTTGCAGTTAAAGCCAGTTAGAATATGCAGAACAGCAGATTCTTGAAAGGAGTGGTCCCAAATCAGCTAGAGAGTTAAAGGTTAAAATAAATAAATGCTCACAAATTTTAGAAAAGCCAGATACTCAAATCTCAGTATCCTTAAGTTCTGATACATTCAATTTTGAAAAATGTGTGCACACTTCGACATTAAACAAAACTATATTTTTTTTAATTAGTTTTACAAACTGCCTGGGGAAAATGTTGACTCAGACAAACCACACCTACTGCATTTTTTTTTTTTAATTATTTAAACTCAAAGATATTTGACAAGAACATTTTGACTACCCTTTACATTACTTTAGATATTAATCAAACCCCCACATTGCAAACCAGGTAATAAAATGTGCTCAGGAATCTTTAGGTACCTCAGTCATCTAGCCAATATGAAAGCCTTGATCTTCTCCAGGCCCTAATTAAGTCAATCAACATCTAACACAGGGATGAGATGAAGAATCAAATGGTCACCAGCATAGCCAGGCTCTCAACTCCCAGGTAAAATCTCTGACAGCTTCATGTATGCATTCCAAAGAAGGAGAAACCAAGAAAACACTGCAAAAATTAACAGAGATAAATAACCTTAGGAGAAATACTTCATCTTATGGGAAAATTCAGGAAGAAAGCCTTCAGAGGTGATCTGTCTAGTTCAAAGGAAGTATAAAAACATTGGCTGGGGCCAATGTCAGAAGTGACAGTGCTTAAGGACATGATGTAGTTGGGAACTGTCAATGTTAGGTTAACAGTTGGACTAGATGACCTTCAAGGTCCTTTCCAACCTAGCTGATTCTGTGATTTCTGTGAAGTGAGGCACTCTAGCTGCAACTGACACAGCTGGAAAAGAAGCACCCACCACTTTAGGACTAGACAAGCTGTGATTATAAAATTCATGCTTGATTTTCCAAGAAGCTTCTTAGAAGATCGATTTCACAGTTTTCTCTAAGATATTTAATCTAGCTGAAGCTGGTAAAGCACTGTTTCGTGGCTTGACTCAATCTGGGGGATATTCTTCTGGGAGACTAATAGACTGTTAAGTTCATTCTTGTGCTTTCACACGCTCTTAAAATATTTATTATCTTACGAAAATACCTGGAATTAAAATAATGTGTAAGATTTAATTTAAAAGGATAAAAGGATGTGTTTCAAGTTGTTCTGGGTTTCTGGATCAAGGGGAAGGAAATAACTTAATAAAGCCTATTCAGAAACAAACTTAAGGGTGTACATCAAGCAAAAATGACAGACATTTTCTTACTAAATTGATGGAGGATTTGTGGGGTTTTGTTTGTCTTTTCAGTGTTTCTTTTAATCGGTCTTCTCTAGAACCAACACAGAAAGAGAGAAATCTGAAAGCAAAGAAGCAGAAACCCCAGTATATACCTATGTGCATTAGGAAAGTTGCTACTTAAGTCACAGTCACAGTTGTCTTTAAATCATGTATTGAGTTTATATATTGTTATTACAATTCAGAAATTTTTATGAAACCTGGGACAGTAAAATGCTTCTGCATGTCCACCACTTGAAAAATCAAGCATTTAAACCTTGTCAAACCTTTTTAAAATTCAGTAGAATGTATTTCAAATTATTAAAAAAAAAAAACCAAACAAAAAAACCAACCAAAAACCAAAACCTGTAAATAGATTTAATTTTAATATGAAGGGTTTTTTCTGCATGCATTGCCATATACAGATGCAATTTCTCTTCATTCTTGCAAAGAGTATTTAATGTAAAATTTAGTATTTCTATAAAAATAACTAGATACACAAACCCTGTCTTCAACAGAGTCAAGAATCACTAAATGTCGGCAGACCAGCTTAAGTCACTACATTATGTCTGTTACAAATCATGCAGGCTGCAGTGTGCCTGAGAAGCCCCTCCGATATCTCACTATGTAAATAAATTAACTACTGACAGCTTTAACTCAAAATATTCTTGCTGTTGTTGCTTTTCTGGATATGAATACTATTTAAATGTAGCACAGGTGATTATATGACAGAAATATAAGAACAAATACACATTTGTGTGTTTATTTAGAAGAAAAATGGTTTCATTTAAATATGTATTTTAGTGACTTCTGGAGAAGGAGAGAACTGGTAGCCAACGAGAATCTTTGTCTTCAGAAAAGACACCCACTCTCTTGGTTCCTTTACATCTTCAGTCTTGCCTTATACTGCTGTTTTCAAATCAAACACTATCTCCTTTCACATCAGAAAATAACTAAATATTAGAACTTAAGTCTTGTAAAAAAAAAAAAATCTGACATCCTTCTTATTGGCTTTAAAATTCCCAAGATTCCCATTACTTTCACTAATGCTCAGAACTGCTACTGTAGTGAGGTAATAGCATATAACCATGCCATAGCTTGACAGGCCCAGACACAACAGACCATCTCAGAATGTGACTGGATCAGTCTACACCTGGACAGGGGAGGGCTGAGTTCTACCACAGGGCAGTTTTGACTAGAGAAGCCATACAATTGCCCACTCTGATAGATAGGGACTTGTAGTTCCTAACCCTGATTCAAGATTTAACATAGATTTCAAACTGGAATAATAAACCTCAAAAGTAAGCAGTTTTCTCATTATTACTCATTTTCTAGGTGAATTGCTCATCTTATTTTGGGGAACTATGATGGTGTCACGTCCCGCTCCAACGAGGGGGACAAGTGACTCAGATTTGCAAATCCCCAATTGGAGCGGACAACAAGTCTCCAAGTTCAAACATTTATTAACTACCTACAATGCACTAATTGAACACATGATAATTGGCTAAGTACAGAGCAAGTTGTGGTGAGCAATATAATATGCTTTACATTTCTTAACAGAAAAAGGAAAAGAGGGAGATAGAGGGAATGGGGGAATACAGATCACCAGTCTGGGTTCCTGCGCTGCTCCTGCCGGCGAGGATTTCAGGAGGCAGCTATCTTCTTCGCTGGCATCCGTCTTCTTTGCTTCACTGCTCTCTCCAGATGGCCGGGGGGACAGGGAGAGGGGCAGAGAGAGAGGGAGAGCCCTTTCTTCTCCCCTTTGATTTATACCCACTTTCCTTGGGTC